AGAGAGAGAGAGAGAGAGAGAGAGAGAGAGAGAGAGAGAGAGAGAGAGAGAAGAGGAGAGGGCAGAGAGACTTAAAAAAAAAAAACCTCTCAGAGCAGCAGAGGCCCCTGGTTTCAATGTGTGTGCAAAGGGGGGAGGGGGGAGGGAAGAGTGCTGAATGGATATTAAGACTGTTTGCAGCACAAAGAAAAATACAGTTTTAAAAGAAGAAAAGAAGCCCGTGAGGCCGGTGATGGTCAAAGAAGTGCAGCCCGTTTAGCGGCAGGCAAAGAGGGGCCAAAAAGGAAAGGAGCGGGCTGCGGGAAAAGTTCACCGAGCTTCGAGGATTAAAAATAACAAAACCCCCCAACAAGGCCCCGCAAGTGAACAACAACAACAACAACAGCACAGCACCTTTTGGGGTCCCCCCCCCCTCCCCTGCTCACTGCTGTCTATTTCGATTTGGACAGCAGCAGCCACCAGGCAGCTCTGCAAAGCAGCGAATTAAAGAAAGAGAGAGGGAGAAAGCAAGCCCCTTCTTCTCTCCACCTGCCCCTCCTCCGGGGTGCCCGCAGCCCTGGGGGGGACGCTCCAACACCCGCGACGGACAGCGGCGCCTTCCTAGCCTAGCCCGCTCGCCCCGCAGCCCCGGCTCCCGCTCCATCCCAGAGCGCCGAGGCCGGCCGGGCGGGCAGGCGCGCGGACGGAGCCCACACCCCCGAGCCCGCCGCGCGCGGGTCCATTGTAAACAAGCCCCGGGGACCGAGCCCCTCCAGCGGCCGCAGCCGGTGTCAGGAGGGGGACCCCGCAACAGCCACGCTCGCTCGCACCCACGAACACACGCACGGACACACACGCTCCCACACACATGTAGAGACCGAAGAATATTCACCTTGGCTGTGGATTATTGTGGTGTTGTTGGTGGGTGATGGAGATGGTGGTGGTGGGGAGGAGGAGGAGGAGGAAGAGGAGGAGGAGGAGGAGAGGAGTAGTTGTTGTTGATGGGTAACAGTCGCCAGGACTACGGTGACTATGGCGCTTGATTCACAAGGCAACGGTTGCTATAACTCACAAAAGAGAGAGAGAGGGAGAGAGAGAGGGAGCGAGGGAGAGGGAGACACTCGCGCGGGGAGGGGCGGGGGAGGGAGGAGGGGAGAGGGCGGGCCCGAGAGCGCCGGAAGAAGCGGGTTCGGCGCCGTGACTGACAGCTCGGAGCCCGGGCGGGGGCCGCGGTCGGGATTCCGACGTCGGGTCCCCCCGAGGGACGCTAAGACTTGGCGGGCCCGGGGTCAGGGCGAGTCGGGCTCGAGGAACGCTAGTGCGGACGCCGGGAAGCCCGGGGGAGGCTGAGGCGCGAGGGGCGACGGCTACGTTCCGTGAAACGAGCCCCGCCTGCCTCTGCAGCCAGCTCGGTGCCCAGCAGCAGCCCCGCAGCCCCGCGAGGGAAACCGCGAAGCCAGGGAGGGGGAGTGACGGCGGCCCCAACACTGTGCGAGACGCGCGCTCCTGCGGGGGCAGACCCCACTTTGAAGCGCGGGCTCCGCCCCTGCCCGACGTCATTTCCGGGGCGGGCCCGGAGAAGGGCCCGGATGTGTTACGCTCCGCCCCCTCTCCCCCCCACTTTCAGGGTTTTTTTTTTTTTCCCCCCCCTCCCTCCTCTCCGCGGTCGCCGGTGGTGTTCCCCGGTCGTTTTTGCCTCGCGGGTGATCCCTTTCCCAGGCTCTGCGGCCGGCGCGGGCCTCCAGAGTCTGGGCCGTGCTCTCCCCTCCGCCGGCCGCGCGCTCGCCTCCTGGCGCCTCCTGAGGCCGCAGCTCCGGGAGCGCGGGCGGCGGGGCGTGAGCGGTGCCTTCGCCGCCATCTTAGGGAGCGAGAGCCGGGGGTGCGCGAACCGCTTGGCCCGTCCGGCTCGACGCGGCGGAGCCCTCCTTGCCAACCGAGAGGCCAAGTTATCACCCTGCAGGACCGGGAGGAAGTGCTGATGAGAAGGGGATTTGTGCTTCCCGGGGATTGAGGGTCCATACCGGGGGGTGGGCTCGACCTCCCGGAGAAACGCTTGGGTCACCCTTCAGAGTTGACGGGATGGATTGGAGCTAGACCCAGTACCAGCCTAGGCTAGCCAAGGGGCCTGAGCTGTGTCTGACCGTTTTTTTGAGGCAGGAATGGCTTCCGTCCATGAAGAGCATTATTAGCACACAACCTGGTACCTCCAACTACGGTTGATAAGGCACAGCCTCTAATACCTCCTGGTTCAAGCGTATTCGTCCAATTCTCCTCACACTGGAGTCCAGCAGGCACGTGCCCCCGGGCTCGCCAATACCCCAAAGCTCCAACATTTGCAGCTAAGCAGCTTATCCGAGACAATAACATATTGGAAGTAGAGCCTTAAGAAGTCAGTTCTCTTGAGGCTTAATTTTTGCACCTGCAAAATAAGGGATTTGGGCCGGCATGAGTTCACTGTTAAAATAAGACTGAGCTCTGTTTCTGTACCGCAGACCTTGTGCTAAGTGTTTTACATACATTATCTCATTTAATCCTGACACCTGTTTTATTGGATACATAATATTCTCATTTTAGGGAAAACAAGCCGTCATTTTTATCTTGCCTCCCCGTGCCATGAAATACTAGGTAAAGACATTCTAGGAACCAACTATTAGAACAATAGATTTAAGGGTAATGCTGAAGGCCTTGATAGTTTCGTAATTATTTGTAGTCTTGATTGTAAGTTGCGATACAGTAGTTAACAGTGAAAACAAGCATGGGCTAAAGTAAAAGGAGGCCATGATCCACTGTGATGGTGGTGGACAAAAATGACGCCATGATGACTAACAGCAGTTAAAACTTCACATTTAGAATGCTCCTTTTGCAACGTTTACAGCTCCAGCCCTCGGCCAGGATGCTGGTTAGGACTGCGGGATGACACTCCCGGGCTGGGAACAGCTTTGCTGCTGCAGCCCTATTGTCTGCTAGTGTGACTGTTTTCCCACTCAGCTGTTGCTTCTCACTGCTCTCCTCTCCGTGAGCAGAGTTCTGTTATCCTCCCCACCCTTTTAATTTACTGCTTTTAATCTTCACCAAAGGAAACCACATAATGAAGCTTGTGCAAAACTGTCTCAAGGGTATAAATAGACACTTTGAGGCAGTGTCCTTTAGGAAAAGTGTGACCTTTGCGCTCAGAACATTGTAACATCAGTTTCAGGCAATTTAGAGACTTCTTTATTCCTAGCTTCTGGTACCATCATTTTACTTTCAGAATGCATACTTTTATTTACATGAATTCTTACAGTTGGGATATTTTTCCTTTTATGAGAATTAGATGTATGTCTTCTAATTGTAGTAAGGTTAATATTTAATTTTAATGTTACCATTATACTAGCTCAAATAGCCAAGCTACAATGCAAGCTATAGAATTCAAAACATGATACACTGATAGATTATATGTTTGTATACATGTATATATGTTATATATATATGATATATATATATATATAATCCTTTTGCTTCTCAATAGTCAGTTCTGACAGGAACTCTTTTCAGATCATCTTTAAAGCTGTATGGTTGTATCTTCATATGTATCATACATATATTTCAGAAATAACTTGTTAGGGAATCTTAGGAAAGACCCAGCAGAGCTTTAACAACTATTGCATTTATAATGAAAAATATAATCTGAGCTTAAGAAAGGTATCTTACATTCCTTGACATTTCAATAAACTATCAATACATTATTTTTTCTGAATTCTAAATATGAGGCAGGCATACCTCCTGTGCGTACAATTCCAAGTTAGTTTTTCTGTGAATTTTAATCGTTGTTTTCTTTGAACTTTGTTTCTGCTCTAAGACTGTAGTGACTCGGAGAGCCATGGGCAAACACAGTTGTGTCTGAAACACTTGAGGAAAAGCAACTTGATTCCCTCTGTCTATACTTTACCAAGTGCTGTAGCATAGCCTTAAAGGTAAACTTCCCTTTCAACATCATCTGCTAGGATCTTTTCTCCTATGGACTCCTACTACATATTCGAAAACTTCAATATTAATGCTTGAGAAAATGAAAAATGTGTATGCAAAGGTAAACTACTGATATGCCGTGACATTTCTTCAAAAAAAAAAATGTGTAGGAGAGTTTTGAAAATGTATGCTGTAGCAGCTTACCATTAAAATAGTAGCAAATCCTTTGTAAAGCAGAAATCACACCTGTTTTAAAAATCTTCCATTTGACTACCTGTTCTCTTCAGTTGAGACACACAACAGAATCTTGTTCTCATATGTGACATAAAGGTTTCCTTTCTGCTATATGGGGTTCAAACTGCTAGTGAGTCTAGATTACTGAGTGACTTTTCTGGATCTGGAATTCTGTGGATGTGTGATAATTATCAACAATGACAAGAGTGATGTAAGTCAAAGAGACTCAAACACTGCACAGTGGCTTATGGTCCTCAAGCACCAAAGCAAATAAATACGGACATAATTTCTAACTATCTTCCGGAGCACCCCACACAAAGCATGCTTCGATTTAGAAAACAGTGCAATAAGTAACTGTTTTGGTCAATTCATCTTTCTAATTGTGTTTTCATTAAATTCTACAAATCAGCTGATTATTCAGCCAGCCTGAAGTCTGTCTATTATATAAGTATATCATGAAATTAGACTTTCACTCCAGTGCATAAAGATGATAATAGAATCATGAATTGACTACCATTGTTCAAGACCAAGTAAAATTTATATATGCATACAGCTCTTCAATTAATTCAGAACATCTAGTACAGTATTTGCACCATTAAACCCAAATATCTGGAAACAATCCAAATGTCAGATGTCTATCAGCTAAAGGATGCATAAACAAATTGTGATAGTCACACATTGTAATGCAACTGAACAGTTGAAAAGACTATTGATATACAAAACAACACGAATACATCTCAGAATCATTATGTCCAACAAAAGAGGCTGAGTGCAAATGTGCAAATTCACTTAGATGAAGTCCAAGTCCAAGGAAAACCGACATTTTCCTGTGATGGGCAGTGGCCACAGAGTGGGATTCACAACAGAGCGGGTGAGAACTTCTAAGGTGATAGGAATGTCCCACACTCTCCAAGTTGTTTGCTACTAGCCACGTGCTATTAAAATTTAATTGTAAATTAATATCATGAAAAATCCATACAGCCATATTTTAAGTTCTCAGAAACCACATGTGGCGATAGCAACTAAATTGGACAATATACACACAACATTTGTAGTGTTTCAAAATTTCTACTGAAGGATGCTGCTGTTCTTTTTGTCTTAATGTGTATATAAATGTTTATATTTGTCAAAATTGCAATTAACAAATATTATGTGTTGATTTTACCTACCCCCAAATCGACAAAATCACTCTTTAGCCAAATTTTAAATACATTACCAATTTGATTAGCCCACTTTTTCATTGTTTTTAGTTCAATTCAGAGAAAGAATAAGAAAATTATCCCTGGCAATTTTTTTTCAAAGATGTAGGCATGCTATGAAGTAGATGATGTTGATTCACTGCTCAAAGAGATCCATTCTGCCACTTTAAAACCCTCAGTATCTCAAGAAAAAAGGAAACACTTTTGTGGACTCAAAGTGCACTCTAGAATACTTCAAAGAAATGTTTCCTACCACCCTCTTGGAACCTTGGTATATGGAAAGGTGATAAATACCACATAACCTTGTGAGGTAACGCAGGAGAACTTGAGAAAGCAGGTACTCTGACCACACTGTAAAAGTCAAGCAAGCTCTCTAGATCTCTTTTAAGATTCAAAGGAGGCCAGCAAAAGGGCTCAGTGGGCAAAAGCACTTGCTGCCAATCCTGATGACTTGAGTTTGATCCCCAGCCCTCAAATGGTAGGAAAAAAAGAACCAACCACTCCAAATTGTCCTTAGATCTCCACACACAGGCTGTGGTACTCATGTACCCCACCACCTCCACTGCCACACACACACACACACACACACACACACACACACACACACACGTAAAAAATAAAAAACCAAGGACTTCTGGAATGGAAGGAAATCAAATTTGTATCACGGATCAAAGATCTCTAATCTCAAGTTCTGAAGTTCTAATCTCCATGGACCTTAAAAGACGAAAAGAAGAACAGATTCAAAATACTCAGTAGACATGTTTAGCTGGTACTTTTATAAAAGAGAAAAATAGACAAAAATATTGACTCTAAATAAAAATAGTAAATAGCTCCACTGGGATTTAAGCAGTTTGTGAACTCTAATTAGATTTTTACAAGATGATGAACATGAATTGTTATCAATTGAATCATAGCCATCAATTAATGTCAGTATTTCATAAGGAAAATCACTTTAATTTTATCAATTATCAGTGGTCAGAAAAGTGATTTTAATTGAGCTAAATTATTTAATTGAACTAAATTATTTAACTGACGAGTTCTTAAATTGTCTTCCTCTTCCTCCACCAACCTGGAATAAAGTCTAAATGAAACAGTCCCCAGGTCTGGGCTAGACCACTAAGCCTATATAAATACTACCTAAGCCTTCCTTTAGATGGTTTTTTAACAATTATGCTGACTGTTACAGGCTATGACTTCAGGTTTTCATACTTGCAAGTATTTTTGAACAATGAACCATAGCCATGACAGAAGAAAAAAAAAATCACTGACTCAAAGTACATGTATTTATTTTTTATTTTGTATTTGTTTCTTTTGATACCTTTCATTTTGTTTTGTTTTAATATAATATTTTTCTAAAACTTTTGTTTAGGATATTATCAGCTTTGTTTGGAGGGGCAAGGAACACGAACACACACACACACACACACACACACACACACACACACACAAATTGCAGTGAAGTGATAGACCATGCTCTGAACACTGTTTGAAGCTTCATTGAGTACTTTCATCCACAAAAGTTTAAGATCATGTTTTAAGGGCTTCATGGATCTTGCTTTACTGACTAGAATCTAATTTTGGATACCTTTGGCCCAATATAATAGGTAATCTGCCATATTAAATATATACAACTAAAGATTGTTTACAAGCAGCCTTGTGATAGGTTTTTATAGACACCTAATATTTAAATCACATTTGCAGCTATTCATGGTCAATAGTTTCAAGTGTCTAACATTTTCAAAGGTTCCTGAGATACATGTAAATCCTATAGAGTTTGAAATATAAATGACCCTGAAAGAATAATTCAAATTTAATACGATAAGTATTTACTTTGTTTTTCCTCCTTTCCTCTGAGTAAAGATTAATTAGAAAGTTGGAGATTCACTGAGATGGAATCATGAGGAACTCTGAGTACTGGTTTCACAAAGATCAGAAAAATAAATTCTTTTCCAAGATGATTAGTGCATTTTGTTCAGTACTCTTGTTTGGCACTACAACCTTTGCCTCACTCTGAAATTATAAAGCAAGCTACAGACAGTTTGAATATGCTTTATAGGATTGCCCTATTTGTAGCTTCAAATGTGTGACATGGTAATTACAGACTTCTTGTTAAATGTTATATCATTCTTCACCCAGAAAAAATAATACTTAATGAACACTAATTTGTGCTGAAGATTGGTAGAAGAAGAAATTTTGATGTGAATCATTCAGAAAAGATATATAAAAATGTATGACAAAGAATTTTTAATCAGGTTAAACATGCATATTTTGAAATTAAGTAAGTTTTAAGTTCAAACTAATAAAGCTGCATGAAATTCTTGTGTCTTTTCCTTTAAGTCAACACTGACTCAGAGACCCCAAACTCACAGCATTGCTTTTCTAGAACACCAAACTGCATCAGTTTCTACAGCTCCAGCTACAGAGGGTGAAGCACTCACTCAGTGATGCGTGGATAAGTGGATCGAAAATGGAGCCTCATGGTAAGTGGGAGTTCTGCCTGCCGAAAGCAAGCCAGAGAGCACCCAACAGAAGTATGAGTAATTTTATAGAAATATTTTAAGTTAGTCATTTAATCAAAACATTACAACTTGTTAGCAACTCTTCAAAAATCCACACCTCTATATTTGGCAGTCGTGTTTGGGAAATAAATATAATCATATAATGGTGGAAGTTTATTGTGGACTTCAGAAGCTATAATGCTTATCTATAAGAAACAGGTAAGGTGGGCTAGAAGTTCTAGCACAGTAAGGAAGCTGAAAGGACACTAGCAAGTTTCCACAATCAATATGAAGTAGAGGCTAAAAAAGCAGCATTAGGAGAAATAGAGAAAATGTAACCACTATAATCAGCTGAGATGGCTACTGTCGAGTTTTGATGATTTTTTGAGACTTCTGGTATAGTGGAGTTGACTGGCTTAGATAGTTGTGTTTTTGTTGTGTTCTTGCTGCTACTGTTGTTTCTGCTGCTTCTATTTTTATTTGTGAAGAAGGATGAGAAGAAACTGAGAAAGGGACATAGTAGTCACAGAGGTAACATTTGATTAAGGTACAGTTAAGGTTCTCTAGGAAGAGGAGGAAGACAAAATCTAGAAGAAATACTGATAATCATTTAAAATGATGGAGTCTAAAATATACTGAGCTACCTAATATTATTGGCGCTCTACTGTGAGCGCTGTGCTAGTTGCTATGGGTGCATGGGTTAGGGACCACAGATGGGAGGAGGATGCAAAGGAACTGAAACTCAGTCTCCTTGTGCCAGCTTCTCTCTCTGCAGTTTCACTCTTCTCTACTTCCTTCCTGCTGTCCATGAAGCATACCATCGCATTGCCTTCCATGAGTAGGTGCACTGACACAGAATTTATTGTAAAGGAAGAGAGAGTAAGGACAGGACATTTATTAAGATGGCACTGGGCTAACCATTCTACTGAAATCTCCTTCTCATCTGCTGCTCTCTGGGTTAATGCACTATTCTTTCAGTTTCCCTGTATCCACACATTGCTAAACAGACCCTTTGAACTTAAGCCCCCACCTCCTGTGTATGGATTTTTCTTTGGGCTGCCAGCTTACAAATAATGACTGGGAGACTTATTACTAATTACAAAAGCTCAGCCTTAGGTTAGGCTTGTCCCACTAGCTCTTACAACTTACATTAACCTGCTTTTATTAATCTACATTTTACCATGTGACTTTTTACCTTTCTTTCATTCTGTGCCTTCAACTTGTTCTGCATCTCCTGGCATCAGCTCTGTGCCTAGGTTCATCCCCAGTTCCTCTCTTTGCCTGGAAGTCCCACCTAGTCTCCCTGCCTAATTATTGGCTATTTAGCTTTTTATTAAACAATCACAGTGACACATCTTTACACAGCGTAATCAAGTGTCATGCAACATTTCCCTCATTTTGTCTAACTAAAAAGGAAAGGTTTTTAACTCTAACACAGTAAAACTATATACAATAAGAACAATTATGAGGTAAGAATTACATTCACAATGTCAAGTTCATTTGTATTTGGCATATTTGGAGAAAGTACTCTATTATCTGTCTTATCTTGGTGAGTTTAAAGTTTAAACCATTTTCTATCATAATTTGTATTACCATCCTAAAACTATCTTTTTAGACCTCAAAGCATTTTCTTAGATAAACAATTTAAGCTTTTATGTCTCTCAACTTTATACGCTTTATACTTTTTATAAGTTTTTTTTTAATTTGGTAACAAGGAAAACTGTAACTATATCTTGTATTCAACTCAGTCAGAGACCTGAGAAGGATATAATATTACCTGAGTAAACAGGAAGTGCAGCACAAACAACTTACAAAACTACAGAAATGACAGAGCAGCTGGCTGCCTGGACAGTCACCCAAGGTTCCTCTGCAACACTGAGGCTTCCCTCTTCAGCATATGGGCCTATCTGACAGACTTTTCTGTGAAGCAGGAATTTCCAAGGGCTGCCCTACCTTGTCTTAGTCAAGTTTGGCAGTCATTTTCTTTTTTGCCCTCCTTGTCCAGTTTGGACAGCATCCTGTCAGCAGTCAAGGCAAGGGCAATTTCTTGCGCATTGGCTTACTTTGCCACAACAAAAGCAAACTCCATATGAAGGTTCTTCAATGCCCATCATCCTTTTTTGAAGGAAATTGATGCTGCCAGGAGCAGATGTGTCTCATTGTCATGAAAAGCCTTATGTTATTAAAACATCTTAAATGCCGTATTCTGTAGGTCTTTGAAGTGTTTGAAGTCCATCTATCTGTCTAAAATATATGTGTTTAACTCTGAAAACTTACCTAACGTAACTACAAGTTTGATTATTATAGATGATTAACTACTAACCTGTATTTCTTAATTATACATTACATTTTTAAATTAGTTGCATAGGTACAATACCTTAAGCAAGAGTAGAAACATATATACAGTATAACAAAAATAACCTTAAATTTGTATCAATATACACAAACACCTTAAGCAAGAGTGGGAATATAGAGTATGCTCTAACAAAAATAACCTTACATCTGAATCAGTATACAAAAATCCATACCAATGTAAATATTTGAGATTAATAGTTACTTGTTTAGAGTAGATTCAATAATCTACTCTTTTATCCTATCCTTTTCATATCTCCCTTTCTCTTTTCATAAAAGGATCCTTGAATCCAACCTCTCTTGCTTAGTTTCCTCCCTTACCATGACCAATAATGATGACAAACATTCATAACCCACCCACCTCTCGGTAATATAGGTGTTGTGTTCTGTAAACTGCTTCCTGTTGTCTGGGAGCAACAGCAACTGTAGGGGACCCTGAGAAAACTGGAATGCTAACCAAGTCCCGGGAGAGCTGGCTGTACTGTTGTTTGTTTAGTCTCTGTGTAGTGGAAAAGTGCAGAGCTTATCTGAAGTCCTGGCTGGAGTAGTCTGTGAGGCTGGACCATCTCAGCTACCAGATTTGAAATTGTTCTAGATGCAGAATTTTGAGAAAACTGCAAAAGAGGCATTTTGAGAGGCTGGATCACCTGGGCTATTTGTCTTGTTCTTATTGGTGCCTAGTCCTTTTTTTTCTGAAAACACACAAACCTTTAAAGGTAACATATATCCATATTAATATAAGTATGGAATGTATGGTGCATACAGGTCAGTTAAAGATTTTTTTTTTGTTCTATGTTTGATCAAGAAAAAGGCATCTGTTAAAGTCTGTTTGGATTGCATATCCAAACTGTAATATAAATCTCCATCCATGCCATATGAAAGGATGGCATGTAATAATAGGTCATGATGGTTCTTTAGTCAACAAGATTTATCATATCTCATCCAGTCTCAGAGTTGTTCCCATGTTAAGGAATCAGCATATATGTTATCTGTCCTTCTTTCTTGCCTTTTTCCCTAATGCTTTAGTCAAGATCCTTAGGAGGTCTCCTCGATCAAATCTGATCTTTATTAATTTTGAAGGGAACCATAACATTTTGTTTCCTATAGAATCTCTCCCACAATGCAACATATTTTCTAACTTCCATTTTGAAATTAAGAAATTCTTAAAAATATGTAGGTTGTTTTATGTTAGCAGTTTCCATAATCCAATGTCTCTCAGCAATTATTATTTTTGTAAATGAGCATTTAAAAATTTCAAAGTCAACAAAACACCATACAGATCCAGATACCCTGTGTATTTCCCATCTTTACATGGCTTTTTTTATATATTACTTTACTCTCTTTTTAAAGACTTTACTATTTTTAAACTACTTTTTTCAATGACTGTCTATACCCATTTTCTATTCTTTCTTGAACATCTAAGCACATTTTAAAACATACTCTAACTTCTTAGGGGTTCCCTGTGTCTGGACCTGGCTTTACTAAGTACTTGCAGTGTTCTCTGACCAAGTGAGACAAATCTTAAACTGCCATGTCAGCCACCTCTCAGCTCATCTTAGTGCATGGCACTGGCACTAGAGGCTTGCTCCAGCCTGCAGGCAACAACCAGGAGCCATGTCTCTATATGCCATGGCCTGCCTGAGAGACTGCAGGACTAGAAAGCTGTGTCTGGCTCAATATTTGTGTGTTTGAAACTTTTTTTTTTTTTTTTTTTGCTTTCTCAGCTCCTGTGTGGAAATACCTGCCCCCACACTGGATGCCACATGTAAACAGATTTTTCTTTGGGCCACCAGCTCACAAATAATGAAATAATGACCTGGAGGAGACTGATTATTAATTATAAAACATTGGCCTTAGCTTAGGCTTATCCCACTAGCTCTTACAACTTACATTAACCTGCTTTTATTAATCTATATTTTACCATGTGGCTTTTTACCTTTCTTTCATTTTGTACCTCCAACTTGCTCTGCATCTCCTGACATCAGCTCTGTGCCTAGGTTCATCCCCAGTTCCTCTCTTTGCTTGGAAGTCCCACCTGTTCTTCCTGCCTAACTATTGGCCATTTAGATTTTATTAAACAATCACAGTGACACATCTTTACACAGTGTAATCAAATATCTTACAACATCCTTACCCTCTCTCTAGATCTCATCTATCCTTTTTTGAGACTCTAATGGCATCCAGCAAGCTAACAGATTACTTATCCATCTACTTGTTTGAGTTGTCTTAACAAAACACTACCCACTGGCAGGCTTAAAGAGCAGAAATTTTTCTCACAATTCTGGATACTAGACTCTGGAGCTCAAAGAATGACAAAGTTGTCTTCTTCAGCAGCATCTCTCTTGGTTTATAGATGTCTATCATGTACCCTTGACTTCATGTGATTTTTTTTTCTTAGTGGGTTTGTGTTCTAATAACAAATTCCTAAAAGGACTCCAATTACAGTAAATTAAGGCTCTAATAATGACCTCATTTTAACTGAATTACTTCTTTAATTACCTTGTCTCCTCCTATGTTAGTCACATTCTGGAGCACATATAAAGGAGGAGGAGGAGAGAGAATTCAGTCCCTAATAAAGACTTTTCTCTGCAAGTTGATGAAAGCACAGAATGAATTACAAATATCACCCCAATTCTATGTGTATACATAAGAAAAGGATAGCATTCCTCTTACCCTGAACACTATGTTAGAAAGGAAGGAAGGACATTTAAAAGGAATACACAAATTCCAATCACAGAGCCAAGTAGTGGAAAGACCGAAGTGGGTTCTAACTAAGCAAAAGAACAATAGTAAGAACTAACAGCAATGGAGCATTCTGATAGATACTAGTTACCTGTGTCCTTCCTATAGGAGAAGAACAACCCATGTTTGAGGCTTGCACTGAAGATTTCCTTTTCCTTTATTGTAGAATGAAGTCTCGTGACAAGTCTGATCAACGGTATATACTGAGAGACCACCATGGGGCAACTTCCAGTAAATCCATCGTTAGAAGTAGTTTGCTTAAGTCTGTTATTCTTCGTCCGTTCACTTCCAGTCTTTTCTCCATCCTGCTGCTTAAAACAAAAGTACCACCAAGCCAAGTACATGGAATGATGGAACAGGAGACAAAGTCTCTAATTGTGAGGTCAGTACATTGCTCTGCATTATGTTCATTGGTAAAAGAAACATCAAACATGTTAGCTTACCCAAGTCTCAATTTATGTGGGACTGACGGGTGACAGAGATTTGTCCTGACTGTGGGCAAGGCCGGAAAACTCTAGCTACAATTGTTTTTTCACTATGCAGTGTTTAGGGTTTTTACATTATTTATTTTGCTTTATCCTTGTAACAATTCTATAGTACATGAACTGTGCCATTCCCTATAAAAAAAATTCTTCCTAGATGGCATACCTCACACAAGTAATAATTTGTGTTTGAACCAGTTTACCACATCCCTAATCAACCCCTTTAACCACTAGTTGAATCTCTTCTCAGAGCAACCAAAACCCATCTGGAAAACAAGGTTATTTTTGAAAGGTATGTGCTGAACAAGAGGATGACACTCAGATTTGAGATGGTGCCATAGTTTTCAAGGGAAGAAAAACAAACTAAATGGAAAAACTCTAGTAAAAATACCTATATTCCAGAGCTTTCTTTTTCCTTGCTTAAAATGTAACCTAAAATCTGCAAAAGGTTTCATCTGTGCTTTAAATATCGACAATATCCCTTTACATCCTTAAAAAGATTTTTCTCTCCTAAGAGTCTCTTGTGAAGCCCTGTCAACCTGAAATGCATTTTCTCCTTAGTTACCTGGCCATGTTCAACCACATAGGGCCAAGATGTCTAAGATCTGTGCCCCAAAGGGGCTTCTCTTTCTCCATATTCTTCCAGAGTCCTTTTCAGAGCCACAGCCGGGATAATCTTTGGTGCAATCTGGCGACCAGTTCTGTACTTAATTGTCAGTTTTCTCTTGAGAAAGACTCAGCTCTGAGCCAGGAGTGGACCCTTATGGTGGCAGGCTCTGTAGCTCTCCTGTGATCAGCAGGAGAACTTTAAGGGTGTGGCAGCTTTGCTAACCCCTCTTAAAGAAACTACAGAAAAGGGGATTTTTAAGGACATCTTGATTTTCTTTTTTCAAGTTTAGGGGACCCCCCCCCAGAAAACAAGACTAGTAGAAATTTTCTATGTCCTTCCCATCTGGCACATAAACAGCTTTTACAAAGGCCATTGGACCTACTCAAAGAATATGAATGCATTAAAATCCCATAAAGTATCAATGTAATTAAGAAGGGATCCATTTATTCACGTGCAGAGGAAGTTTGGTAGGCAACACATAGAAGGCAAGGGCTTACAATGTCTCTGACATGATTTACCTCCAGGCTATAAGCAAACCTGACTATCATGCACACTTTGTTAGGACCGAGTTGTCAAAATGAATCTCTCCTTGTGCTTTTAATTCCTTCTCCTTGCAACCATTTTTTTTTCAGTCAACTGAGTTCAGATGTATGTTTATTATCACTATCATCATGCCATCTTGAGATAGAAATAAGTTTGTATTCCTTTTCAAAACTAGCTTGACTGAGGATCATTCACGAACAGTGAGTTCACTCATTAAAAATAGGCAGTTCAGTAAATAGTCACAATGTATTGCAGTCCTTTGATTACTACTCTTAGTGAGACTTGTATCAGTTACTGTCAAAGGCTCCCCTTGTGGCTTTCTAGTTCTCTTTCACCCCACTCCCAGGGCTAGGAAAACCTGGATCTATTGTTACTATGTTTATTTCATTTGTTACAATATCTTATAATAAATGGAACACATTATTTAAAACTTCTTCTTTAGGTCTGGGTTCTTTTATTTGACAGAATAATTTTCATATTGTTATCAATATTTGCAATATATTGCCAAATAGTAGTGTATTAAATGGATATACCATAATTTCTTTCCAGGTTTTTGAGACAAGACTGCTGTAAGCATGTGTATATAAAATGTTCTTGTAGACAGACATTTTCATTTCACTTTGGTAGACACTGAGGAGTGTAAATTGCAGAGTCCTGACTTCATATGAAGTTTCCAAAGTGCCTTCTCTGTGTCTTTATTGTTTTATGTTTTCTAGTTTCCTTGACAACTTTCATCATACGTTTAATGTGTATTTTCCTAATGATTAGTACTATTCAGTATCATTCCCTGAACTTGTTGCCTATTCATTTATCTTCTTTGTGAACTATCTGTTCAAATGTTGGCCCTTGTCCAATGTTGTGGCTGTCATCATCTTCCTGAGGAATGGGACTTGTTACCATAGAGGTGAATCTTTTTTTTTTTTTTTTTTTTTTTGAGACAGGATTTCTCTGTGGAGCCCTGGCTGTTCTGGAACTTGCTTTGTAGACCACACTGGCCTCAAACTCATAGAAAGCCACCTGCCTCTGCCTCCTGAGTGCTGGGATCAAAGGAATGTGCTACCAACACCTAGCTAGGTTTGAATCTTTTGCTAGATGTACTCACTCTATCATTGAACTAAATCTTCAACCACCAAAGAATTTAATTTCACCTTTTCAATAAGTAAAAGGCTTCCTTCCCCAGAATCCAAGAGGACATACTACTTAGGACCAGAGATAGATTGTTTTCCTTTTGTTCTGTTTGTTTGGGTTTAGTTTGGTTTCAGTTACTCTATCGATCACATCAGGTTTTAGACTTAGGTGGTGTGGTGCAGCACTCCATAATGCAAGACAAAAAATTACAGCACTTCCCCTTCCTTCATCTTGTTGTTCTCGCTCTGATAACTGTTTTTCAAAGTACCTCATACTTTTACATTATCTAGATTTCTAAGTGTTTCTCTTTAGGACCATATGAGGATGCAGGGAAACTGACTAATGTTCCTTTAACAAGCATCTACAAGTTTGGGACCAGGTATTTGAATAGCTTGATAAGCACATTGCAGAACTGGTCAGAACTGAAGGGACATTCTCAAAGACTTGAACAGGAGCATGGCTGAACCAGTGCTGCCCAAGGGAGGTGCTAGATGTAGGAAGTTAGACTTTCTATTTTGATGCTCTCTTGGAGCTTGCACACATTAAATTAAAAAAAAATTAAATAGAAACAAATGAAGTTTTACTTCAGTTTTATAACATTTTTGTACCTTCTGAAGAATTTAGAATAACATTGCTTGATTTTTTTTTTGCCAACCAAAAAAAAAAAAAAAAACCTGAGAAATAAAACACAGAAGATCATTCAAATCCTTGTCTATTAATTTATGGCCTTTGATTTTATGAAAGCCTTACTTTCCATGATATATGACAAATGAAGACTCAATCCTTAACTACTTTGTAAAATATATTATGAATTAAGGGTAAAGGAATCAAAATACTAAACAAAAATTTAAAGTTGATTTTTTTAAAAAAATCTCATCTTTTTTTTTTTCTTTTTTTGAAATGTGCTTTCTTAGTGCTTGCAACTTGATATATTTGTAGTCTTTGGCTTCTCCATGATCTTTTTGCTGTTCTGGAAATTGAACCTTGGATTCCACACACACTAGGCAAACCTCTTCACACTCAGCTCTTCTCCCTGCTTTCTGTGTTTTTATCCCTGTTTACATTGATATAGGTTTTATATATGTCATTAATTTACCCAGCCTAATCTTGACATTTTTACCACCCATCCTGCCTCAGCCTCCTGAGTAGGAAGGATTATGGGACCACACTACCAGACCAATAGAAAAGTTTCTTAAGTTCTAATTTCTTACTCTGCTGTGCTCTATTTTTTTTTTCATCAGGCATTTATATGCTTTGTGAACTATAAATGAGTTTTAGGGAGACATAGAAGTTAAATAATTAGATATTTTTCTGTATCTAGTTCAGAACTACACAAAGGGAGCTTCTGAAGGAAGAAGAAAACATCCTTTTCACCTGAACCATCTTAACTTTCATTTTTACCAATGCCTTCTAACATAATTAGAAACTTCTTGTACTGCCACAGCTGTTTTCCGAATTTTGTTATCATGAGCAGTGCTGCTGCGGGCATGGTAATCTAGCATCACGGGAGACTAACCAGCTTATTTGAATGTGTGTTTTAGACCAGCTGTATTAACATTATTTTGAGGAAATCACTTCACCTCACTGGGCTTCATTGTTGAGTCTATAAAAGGATTAGACTTTTTTTTTTTTTAAGTTGTAGGAAGAGTGTTCTTTGATGTGGATCACTCTGAGAATTGTGAACAATGCTGCTACAGCCGTTGGTGACATAAAATGGGCTGTTTAGTTGTTGATGAAATATCCTGAAAATAATGGTGTTTGAGCTCCTGAGTGGAGACACCAGTCCAGTGAAATGTAGTTTCAGTGGCTTTCCAAATTAATAGCTGTTTGGGATCCACATTCTAGTTTTTATTAGTAAGAGTGAATGTGGAAAGACTGTGTTCTGAAATGGGTTAGAATGCCACATTGTTTATATTCTCCACATGATATAAAAATTCAAGCTTAGTAAAATTGTGTTAAATTAATAAAGCAATGAAATAGAATTTTCATTTCTACACATAAATAAAGCTCAGATCTAACTAATATCATTGTGTTAAGCTGAAGCAAATTGTCTTTGATCCATTTTTTCTTTTTGTAAAGTTTAGCACAAAATATACATTTGAACACTGCTGTAGGAAGGGTTTTGAATATTATTGAGATCATTCAAATCTTCAGAAAAAAATAGACTAAGGAAGTGCTTTGGACTTTTTGAAACATGACAAAGAAAAAATAGGTTGTGAATTTGAAAGAGACGAAGGTAGGTACATGGAAGGTTTTGGAAGGAAGAAATTAATTATATCTCAAAATACAAAAAAATTTAAAATATATAAATATGCTCTGGTATTAGTTGAGTATTCTTAACATATCTCCATTTAGTCACACCTGTGGCTATATTTCTTTGTTTCTATCTCTCAAAGTATATACTGTTATTAATGTGACATGTATGTTCAAACTTTATTAGTAGTTAAAAATTAATGCTTTTAAAATTTCAAACAAGGATTAACTTTATGTTTATGATCTGTGATTCTATTTAATTGAAACAAAAGTTTTTCAGGAAGAGC